TGGACAAATTTAAAAGAGCTGAGACTCAGGGTCCGCGGATGGGGAGCCTCCGGCCTCTGCCCACCCAGCCTCTGTCCGATCCCTGTGCTAACCCGGCCCAGCCGGCCGAGGACTGAGGCCAGGGACGCCCAGCCGGCGGCCGGGAGGGGACCGGACAGGCAGCAGGGACGCTCCAGGCCCCGCCCACGCGGCCCCACAGCCCGGCTGAGCACCGTCAGGCAGGACAGACGGCCCTGGAAGCCCAAAGAGCTGTTTTCATGCTACCGCCCTCTCGGGGGCACCCCCAGGCCCTGCGGTGGGCAGCCTCCCCTCCATCTTCCCCACACTGGACCCTAAGGCCATGGCTCTAGCACCAGCACCCAGGCTGCAGGCACTGCCGCCCCTGCCCTGAGCCAAGGCTGCTGCCAACCGTCCATCCCAGCTGGAGCCCCCGTCGCCTGGCCGTGAGAAGGGGAGTCCTCGGGCGCCCCCGCCCCCAGCAGAAGGGCCCCTCGTTCCTCCCTCTAAGCCCCCAGAGGATGCGGGGCCCCAGGAGGATGAGCCCTCGCTCTGAAGCCGGGAGTGTTGGGGTCGTTCTGCTGTTTTGGGGAGCTCACCCTCACCCTCGTCCTGACACAGCACAGCCAGCACCTCAGCCCGTCCCCCCGCGCCCTGGGGGAGGCTGGGAAATCAATTCAATCTTCAACTAAACCCACAGGGGACACCACAGGTTCTCGGGGTGCACTCACATGCTGACCCTGCCACTGGGGTGCACCACGGCTCATGCCCCAAGTCACTGGTGCCTTCATCGAGCCAGCACACTGGCGGCGTGGGGGCTGTGCCGGACGTGGGAACTGGCCCCATGGCCAACCACGCTGTCCCCAGGCCAGTGGGCCAGCCCCACAGAGGCCCTGGGCACCTGTGCTCCAGGCGGGGTTCCTGGTGCCTCTATCAGCCCCAGGGAGGGTGGAGGGACTGTCCCGGCGTCACCCGGCGAGGAAGAAAGTTCCTGATGGGCACGGCGGGCACAGCGTTGGGACTCCCCCGGCCGAGGGCACGAGTGGCCGGGACGCTCTGAGGCTGCAGGGTCAGTGCCTGGGCCTCCCCCGGAGAAGCCTCTCCCAGTGCTGGCACCAGGCCTGCGGGTGCCTCGGGGACCGGGGTCCAGTGAGCAGGCCCCCACCTGGCCTTCCCCACAGGCTCTCTCCCTGCACCCCACCAGGGGCAGGCTGGCCTCAGCAGGGTCCCCTCAGAGCCCCTCCCCGGCCCTCTGGCCCCTCTATGCCCCCACCCCCCACTACCGCCCATGGCATTAATCACAGGTGACAGTCCTGCAGAGAGGCCGATTAACAGCTCCCCGACCTCTGCCCTCGCAGGTGCCCTGGTCTGTGGGTTCAGAGGCTGGGAGGGCCCACAGGCACCCACCTCGGCCAGAGCCCCTCAGGGAGCTGCCCGTCTGTGGGAACAGCCCAGGGAGCCCCAGGAGCCGCGGGAAAGGAAGCCAGACTCAGCAGTGGCCAGGGCGGGGGCGCGTTCCTGAAAAGTCACCAGATGGAGCCCGTCGGGAGCAGAGGAAGCTCCCGCCGCGAGGGAAGGGGCAGTGCCAGGGAGGGGCCTCCAGGCTCTGGGGGAGCCAGCCCTGCCCCCACCGCACCCCACCGGGCCCTCGGGCAGCAGCTGGCCCGGCAGAGCGGGTAGAGCCTTGGGGAGACAGGAAGCAGGAGAGGGCTGAACCCTCCGTCCCTGTCCGCAGCCTCAGCTCCTCCCTCCAGGGCAGCGGCCGCAGAGCAGCTTCCTGGAGAGCCCGGGCCTCGCGGGGCGAGGACGGGCCAGGCCTCCAAGTCTGACTCCCTGCTGACCCCGTACCCCTGCAGGGCCCCAGCCCGCTCCCTGCTGGGGGCTCGGCCTGCAGCCGTCCCTACCTCCTGCCCCGAGGGGGCCTCCTTGGGTCTCACTGGACCCTCCTCTGTGCCACACCCCCACGCCCACCGCTGACCAGGAGGGGGCTCAGGTGTGCACCCCGGGCCTGAAGGCCCCTAGAATCTCTGGGAACAGCAGGGCAGCTGCCGGCCGGCCGGGCCATGGGCCAGGCCCTGAATCCCTGGGGGTGAGCCTGCCGGTCCCTGAGCTGGGCGCCCTGAGGGACCCACAGGATGGGTGGCTCCCAGGACCCGCTGTGGATGGAGCCTTCCTCGGGCGCCCCCTGGGTCCCCACCCTCGAGACAAAGAGGGTCCTCGGGCCCCTGGGGCGGCTCAAGCAGGTGGACTTCCTTCTCCCTCTGTCAACCTCCCAGCCCAGCGCACTGCGGGTGGGCCCGTGGGGGGC